TTGGTTGGGTGGGATTTTTCAACCCATTTTATCTGGCGAGCTGGCCCAACCCAATACACCAAAATGCTAGTTATCAAATCCTAATTTTTAAAACTTTCCTTATGCAATTGGGAGCGATATGGTTTAGGCAAAATAGAAATTGAAGCCCATAAATTAAAATTCACAAATTATTTGTCAGGTTATTGCTTATTTAGTAAGTTTAGAATTTTTACTAAATTTTGAAAATCCATAACTAAATCTAGAAAATTCAGATAAGGATGCTCTAAAATTCTCTTGAAACATATTAAAGTCGTGTAAGTGATAAGAATACATTTTAAACCCTTTTTAGTTCCAAATGGCACAATTTATTCATTTTTTTAAATATGCTCTGTTCCTTTGACAGAATCTGTATAACTTGAAAAATTTGTAACTCAAGTTATACATGTCCAAATGATTTGGTTTAGGACTTTTTAGAAATCTCTATGTGTCTAGTTTTATCATAAGGATTATCATGAGCATTGGATATGGGTTGCTATATGTTAAATAATAAAACAGTAACCCTCCTTTGAAAAGAGCCTAAGCTAGACATCCCAATCATGCATATTAAAATCATGATTTCAAGGCCAGTTTAGGACTTTAAATTGGCCATCATACATCGACACATATCACTTCTACATACCAAATCCTCATCATAAATTTACATAGCTTATAGGCTTATTTATACATTTCTCATTTCTATTAAAGTAATGCCATAGAAAAAATAATTTTTCCTAATCTACTTACCTTTACTTCTTGCTCTGGCTCTTCCTTTAGAAGCTTATAACCTAACATGGCTAGTCAATGGTAATGACATTCGAGAGAACCTTAGTAGTAAATAATATCATTCAAGAATACAAGGCAAAAGTTTTGTACATAACATATACTTGCATTACATGACTTCATAACTAATATATTGACATGTTACATGCTCATGCATCATACATTGGACCATGGAACACTTAAAAATAGAGTTTCAAACATTCATACATGATTCATAAAATCAAAGAAACTAATCATACATATCATCATACAAGCATAAATACCAAGCATGTAATGAATGGTAAATTTACTACCTTTTGGCTTTACTATTTCTTCTTTATTTTCCTTACTTTCATTTTATTCCCCATGACCAAACCTCCAATTCCTTTTCCATAACACTCATTGACTCTCAATATTTGCCATAGAATATTTATGACAATTGTTAGAGCCAATAATCACATTGTCAATAAATGATAACTTACTCTTTCTTTTTTAATTCTTACTTTCATTATCTTAATTTTTTACTTTACTTTTCCTTTGACATAAAATTTTCATACCAACATTTTCCCACTCAATTTTTCATAAGGAACTCATTTTTAAACTTAAATTTGACCAATTATAACTCTTTCCCTTTAAACCATCCTTGACAGTAACTATGGGTCATTGAGACCCTAAATTATGGTTTCTTTCAAGCTATTTTCATACTTCATATATATGTGTTTCAAGGCTAGGTTCTAAATTATATTTTATAAATTTAAATGCTTAACTAATCATCGCTTAATTCTTTGGAAAACTTGGCAGCATTTCTCTTGAAAATTGGCCATCCAAAAATTAAATCAAACTTGAAATCAAGCTACCATTCATTAATAATCAATAGGTAACATCTCTATGACCATTTCTAAGCTCTTTTCTATCATATAATCATCAAAATATCAACCCTTATCACCTCTGAAAAAACATGGCACCATCTCATAATCATGAAAACTCAAACAAAAATTACGAAAAATAGTTCAAAAAGAAGCTCTTCCATTCATCTTCTCAATGCACTAACTTATTCTTGCTTCTTCACTACTTCCTCCATCTATGCCATCTCCAAACTCATCTTCTTAAAAAACTAAAGCCATAAATATTCCTCTTGATGAGAGGAAAAACTTTTGTGAAGAGATTTTGAGGTAGAAATGTAGTTTTAAGGGTCATTTTGGTTGATTTTTCTTTTCTCTCTCTAAACTTCTCATGTGAGTTCATGGAAGAAGCTTGCAATTTCTCTCTCTTCTCTCTCCTTCATCTAACCGAAATGATGCAATGAGGAAGAGGAAATGGGTGTGATGGTGTTTTAGTGGAAGATTAAACCAATTTTGATAATATTTGAATTTCAAAATATCTAATTTATCATTTTTATTCTAACTGATATTTTGATCAATTTCGGACCATGTAAATGCCTGCCATCTTTTTCCATTTCAGATCTAACTTGACGTCACTACTCCCTCCAAAATGAGCTCAAAATGAAGCTAAATGGAGTCCACCTGAACTTGGATGGGTTAGACTTGATGTGGACGGCTCTATCAATACTTATGGTGCTGCTTCATGTGGAGGCATTATTAGAGATGACAAGGGTAAATGGATTAAAGGATTCTCCAAGAACCTTGGTTATTACCCCACTACTACAGCCGAGCTATATGCAATTTTAGAAGGCCTTAAACTCTGCTGGAATGAGAAGCTCACTAAAATTAATGTCCACTCTGACTCTCTAGAAGCTCTATCACTCATTAACAACGGATGCTGTGACTCTCACCCCCTCTCTGGAATTGTCAAAAATATTATAGATTTCTCTATGAGAGATTGGATTGTTATATTTGACCACATCTACAGGGAAGCAAATAATTGCGTTGATCTCCTGGCTCACAAGACTCCTTATGAAGATTTTGATACCTTTATCTTTATCAATCCGCCTACTGATTGTATAATCCTCATGGCTTCTGATATGACTAGATTTTAGTCTTTTTGCACAGTTTTCACTGTGGCCTTGTACTCAAAAAAAAAAGGGCTCTTGTTAAAATTAACTTTTAGACATAATAAAAATTGATATTATCTTAACTTAATGCAATTTAAATTGTAAATTCTTTTAAGAAATTCCTAATCAATAAAATTGACATAATTCATCCAAATATTTATTCCTTTTTATAAACCAATTTCCTTTAATTCTTCATGAATTTTGGATAATTTTTTATAATTACACTTAAAAACCCAAAACTCTTAAAAATTACACTTTAACCCCGATTGAGCGTGATATTTCAGGGTTAACGTTCGCTTTTGTTTATTTTTAAAGCTAGATACTTATTCATACTCTCATTATATTTAATTACATATAATTAACTTTGAATATTAATAGTTACTATTTGACTTTGGATAAGCTATTACTGTTATTCGTTTTTCTTCTCTTTCCTTTCTTAGCCTAGTTAGTAGTTGAGCTATCTAAGAAAAAAAATCAAAGATACTCTCTCTATAATAATTAGCCAAATTTAAGAGGTTTTGGTATTTTAAACTCATCTTGAACCATCATCTTCCTAGAGAACTATCGCATATACTATGGCTCAGTAAATTTCTACTAGGTCTATTACGACTATGAGATCTAACTATGATCTCACTGAGCCCTTTTTGAATCTGCTATGATCCTTAGAATCTAATTATAATTTTTCTCTAGAAGACTTAGGACATAAGGATAAATTTATCAAATAACATTACTTCTATTTAATCCAGCAACTTTATTGATTATTTTCTAAAACTAATCTTAGATATTTCTGTTGCCCTCTTTGACCTTATTTATTTTTTTTAGCCTATTTGGATATTTTTAGACTTCAAGCTGCTCATTTCTTAGTTCTAAACACTTCCTTGAAGTCTGTAAAAATATTACACTTCTACCCAAGAAAAACTTTAAATTTACTATTTGGTCCCTAAGAACCATTCTTCCTTTTTAAATCACTTTAAGGACTTTTGATTACTCAGGCTTGGTAACTTACTGAATTTTGGCATATTCTTGAACTTCTAAGCTAAAAATTTAGGATGTTACATTAGCTCGCACAGGCTGGCTCACAAGTTGAATTTAGCACTGTGCCATCTGTGTACATCCTAATAATGGCTAAATTCAACAAAAAAAAATGATATACAGATTTTAAATAAAAAAATTAATTACTATAAAGTTCATTAACAATTAATATAAGATCATTTATAATAAAATAATTTTATGTTAATTATTAATGAATTTTATAATAATTAATTTTCTTATATTAAATTTTAATACAACTTTCCTTAAATCCAAACCGGTCTTGATCCATCTACACACAACACGGCTCTTCAAAGTAGGGCTGCGTGTTGGCTGGAAAAAAGAAAACAAAGAAAGAAAAGGTTGGCTGCGACTACGGTGCTAGCAGGTCTAAAAAGTAAACACAAAAACATGAAAACTAGAATGATGGCATAACGTGGTATTGAAATTGAGCTTTCATTAGGCCCGAAGAAGGCCTTAGAAGTTAGAATAGACAGAAGATATCAAAATTTATAAAAAGAAAACAAAACATCAAGAGAAGGGTAGGGGAAATTAGTTTTTTCCGTTATTAAAAAAAATTTAGGATTTTTTTAAAATTATTTTAAAAGCTGATATTTTATAAAACATGTTTTAAAAAAATAATAATGAATGCATATGTTTTTTATATTTTTTACTCTCTAAAACAATAATTTTAAGATATTTAAAAGATATTTTTTATTTTTTATTCTATTACCCATAATAACATTTAGTTTTTTTAATTCTTTAAAAGATTTTTAAAGAAACAGAAAACTATTCCAAAACAAAACAAGCTCTTAAAGCATATTTGATAATTTATTTCAAGAACAGTTTTCTATCATTTAAAATAAAAAATAAAAAAATTTGTTTAATAACATATATTTAAAAAGTGTTTTAAAAAATAAAAAATAAAATATTATTTTAAAGAATAAAAAAATAAAAATAATTTTAAGATATTTTGAAATTATTATTTTGAAAAATGAAAAAGAATGAAAAATATATATATTTTTATAATTCTTTTATTTCCAAAACATATTTGATAAAATATTAATTTTTAAAATAATAAAATAAAAATAATTTCAAACAGTTCCTCAATCGCTTTATCGACTCTGGAACATTCGAGCATTAGCATGCCAAGCAAGCTTTTCATCGTTTATTGTCGCTAGAACATTCGAGCACCAATACTATAATACTAATACCACCTGCAGAGCTTGCAAGCCAAGACAAACAAACAAGGAAAGTGAGGATGTCGTTGGTGCCGATCAATTCCAACTCCAGTTCATCGTTGTGGGATCCCATGGACAGGCTGCTCAGTGATATGCCCTTTCCCTTCTCTTGGGCCGTGTCCGGCCATGATTTTGATTTGGGGTTTGGGTGGCGCGTGAATTCCCGTCTCGACTGGAGGGAGAGCTCCGGAGGACACGTGTTGGAGGTGGTGCTTCCTAGGTTCGCCGACGAGGATGTGCTGGTGGAGCTTCAGGACGACCGCATGCTGCAGGTGAGCTTGGAGAGCGGCAATTTCATGAGCAGGTTCAAGATCCCAGAGGATGCGGATCTCCAACAGTTGAAGGCCTCCATGAACCACGGGGTTCTGCGCGTCACCGTTCCCAAACTACAATCCGCTCGCCCTAACGTCAGGGTTCTCGAAATTGAAGGCGGTGACTGACTCCATCATATGTTATGACCTGCGTGTGCTGTCATGTTTCTTATTTTAGTATATGTATCCAGTATCCCCCCTGTTCCCATCTTCCGTTGAATACTTAATTACTCTTTGTTCCATAGATGTTAATATACTCCCTGCTAATGCCTGACGGTGAACTTAGGCTTAGAGTTAGACTCTATATATGCCGTTCTTATCTTGTTCTATGTGCCTGCCAAATTGCCTTTTCAGATGATAAAATCATTCTCGTTTTACTGTGACCCTATAAATTGCGAAGAAAATCTATTGTTAAAGGTGGAACCAGGACACCACCGATGCCTTGATTCTTCTCGATTAATTGACAACGAGAGTCGAGTGAGAAGATAGGACAAACTCAGCATTGCATATAGACCAGCACAATCGACAGAGACAAATTCAATTAGAGGGTGATTCTCAGGCTCTTAGTAAATGCGCAAGCTACAAAAACTAAAAGAAATCACACCGATGACAGAAGAAATCCCAGTGCAAACAAACTACGAGTCAAGGACGCTAACAATAGCAGTGAAAAAGACAATGAAAGGCAAAACTGAGCTCAGCCAGAGACCTGTTATGGATTTTTAAAAAAAAAAAAACTCAGGTAATTGTGGATGGAGAAGAGACCTATGGAGAATGCATAACTCAGGATGGAGAAAACAGAATCGACACTAGGAGTGGAAAACATGAACTTGGGACGAACATCATGGCACGAGATTGAAGAAGTGGAAGACACGAGCACGATAAAAGGAAACAGAACGGAGGAAACCGGATCGACAAACTTGGAAAAGAGAAGACGAAGGTGTTGACGGCGAGATGATGCAGAAGAACAGAATGGCACGACTCTAGGAGAAGCGAAGCCCATGGAAAGACAGAGGAGCCGACGTCGTTGACGGTGTGGGAGAGAGGAATGAGTGGCAGGGCTGCGAGGGAACAAAGGGAAGGAAACTTAGCGGAGTAAATGGGAGACCAAGGTTGACCGTGGGACGCGACAGCTTCGGCTGGAAAGTTGAACCAAGGAGGCGACTCTTTCCATTAATTTAGTGAACTAAAGTCAAACTGAAGCCACTCCAAAGTGGCTTTGTGCTCCTCTCATGCTAAAAATAAAAATCATCAACATATTGCACATGAAAATTATTTATCATATTGACTTCGAACCGCATCCTTCGATCAATCAAGACACAGAGGTGATCAATTTGAAATCAGGCATACAAGATAAAAACAAGTGTTAAATATTTTCCCTGTATTTATCTGAATGCGTCATTAAAATTATGATTGCATACACTTTTTTTTTTTTAAATTTCAATAAGTACTATACGATCACAGGTCACACAAATGGAATAAAATTGAAGGTTACGAGGATTTTGAACAAAAGTAACTCAAATTAAAATTCGAACTGCTTGATAGAATTTTTTTTTATTTTTTATTTTTTGGCCATCCATAGAAAATTGTAGAATGTCAGGTGATGATGTATGTTGTCTATATTATTAGCTAGTATGCATAAACAAATAGTTTCTAGAAGTTTATGAGCACCTTGCGAAGCCGAATTGAATTTGAAGCCGTGTCTGAAAGGCAAACCAACTAGGGTTGCAGGCTTGTAGGTCAGAAGTCAGATCACAATTTGATTTTTTGGGGAAAAAGGGTTGTTTCAGGGCCGCGAAGGCCTGAACTCTGAATAAAACTCTTCTCCACAAAGCTAATTCCGAGGTCTGAAGCGTGGAAATCGTCCAGTATAGAGAGAGCAATGATGACGAGTGACAGGAAAATAGGGGTGGCCATGGATTTCTCAAAAGGAAGCAAGTTGGCTCTGAAATGGGGCATCGACAATCTGCTAGACAAGGGCGATTCCGTATTCATCATCCATGTCAGGCCTTCCCAGGGCGATGAATCCCGAAATCTTCTCTGGTCTACCACTGGTTCACGTAAGCCCTCTGCTTTTCTCACCAACTCAATTAAATCTCTAAGATCGTCATAACGATTCTGATAATTCTTTTGGGGGGCCGGGGTCCTGGCCTTTCAGCGCTGATCCCGCTGTCAGAGTTTGGTGATAAGGAGGTGATGAGCAAGTATGAAGTGGAGACCGATGCCGAGGTGTTGGATCTGCTGGACACTGCTTGCAGACAGAAGCAGGTCTTTCTCTCTCCCTCTTTTTTTTGTTTTTTTCTGGGATTGAGAATTTGAGTCAAAGAGGTTGATCGGATTTGGATGCAGGTGACGGTGGTGGCAAAGCTATATTGGGGGGATGCAAGAGAGAAGATCTGCGAGTCCGTCGAGGATTTGAAGCTGGACGTTTTGGTCATGGGCAGCAGAGGCCTGGGTCTCATTCAGAGGTTCTGTATTTTCTTCCCCCTTTTTGGCCTTTCCATCTGGGATATGTTAATCTTCATTCTCTTGTTTCTTTGGCTGTTTGGTACGATTAAATTACATGTATTGACAATGCTGTCAAACAGTCAAATTGAATTGTTCATGATAAAACAACTTTTTTTTTTTTTTTCAATTCATTCATTTTATCGAATTGGACTAAATATAGGGTTTTGCTGGGGAGTGTGACCAGCTATGTTACCACAAATGCCGCTTGCCCTGTGACAATTGTCAAAGACTCTGGCCCGTCCGGTTTCTGAGTTTGGATTCTGCAAATGGAAATGGGAGTGTCATCCAGCTATGTGTCTCCAATAACAGACATATGACTCTCTCTCTCTCTCTCTCTCTATATATATATATATATATATGTATGTATGTATGTATGTATGTATATGAACATAGGGGATGCATCAAGGGTGTGCTGAAGCATCATGTTTTATGTATGTAGTGTCAAGGGTGTCTCTTGAATTGTTGATGATAAAACAACTACCTTTTAATTCGTTCATTTTATCGAATTGGACTAAATATAGGGTTTTGCTGGGGAGTGTGACCAGCTATGTTACCACATACGCCGCTTGCCCCGTGACAATTGTCAAAGACTCTGGCCCTTCTGGTTTCTGAGTTTGGATTCCGCAAATGAAAATGGGAGTGTCATCCAGCTATGTCTCTCCAATAAAAGACATATAACTGTGTGTGTGTGTGTGTGTGTGTGAACATAGGGGATGCACTAAGGGTGTGCTGAAGCATCATGTTTTATGTATATAGTGTCAGGTGTCTCTTGAAGTGTTTAGCTCGTCCGAAAGTCAGCATAATGTAAACTAGATGCTGGGTCTCTTACTGTGAGTGATATATTCTTCATATTGTCATGTTTAGTTCATTTTCCAGGATCTTTAGAAATTCCTCGATTGCTTTTCCTTTTCCAAATCATCCGTAGAGTTGCAGATGTAAAAGGCCTCTCAAAATAGACAAGAGCTGCCATACATACAAGTTCGACTCCTTTAATTCTTGAACAAAAGGCATCAATTACACTATTCAGGCCAAGAGGTCAAGCTGCCATAACGACGCCGAGGCAATAAGTCGAGAGAATCCAATCCACCATCGGCTTCCGGTTAAGGAGAAGTATTTTCAAATTTCAGAGCTGGTTCAGACCACAATAATCTAGCGACATGATTATGCTCAGAAGTCGGACCTGTAGCGAATGAGTTGTATTACGCGGCGAGTAGTCCCGGCTGTTGCAGGTTCGATCCCCAACGATAGCTTTTTCTTAATCTCACAATTCTTCTTATCTCTAGTGACAGTGCGGCACCCGCACCAACACCCTCTTAAGTATTTAGAGAACCAAAGAGGGGTGACAACCGAAGTAAGAACATAAAGTCGTCGTCGTCGTCGTCAAACGACTTAAAATTAAGGGAACAAATTCCGTGAAAACTAAATATTCAGATCCAGTTACAGTTAGGTCCTACATATTGAAAAAACTGATTAGGGACCTATATACGGGCAGCACGGGCAGCCGCCGGTTAAAAATTGATGCGGGCTGACTCATAAACTTAGCCTGCACATTTTTTCTCTTAGAATCCCACCCATTTTGCAAGGGTACGGGCGGGTTGTATGGGTTGTGGTTTATGTGGTCTCCTTTGTTTAGTACATGTTGTTTAGCGTTTTTTTAAAAAAAGTTTAGAAATAAAAATAAATCTTATCCGTGTATGTTTTTTTTTTCACATGAGTTTATGATTTGCTTTTATTATTGACATTTATGATTATATATTTTGTTCTGACAACCCTTCAGCTGTGGCAATTTCAATCTTTAGCTTGTCTTTATTTCGAATTTCAATGGCAATTCCAAATCTTTTGGTATGTATTTAAGTTGAATTCAATCTTTTGATCCTTTAATATCATTTTTTTAAAATTAATTATAGGTTAACTATCTTAAATAAGAAAGATAAAAATAACAAAAATATATGAAAAAAAATCAATTTCAAAATAAAGTGAGTGAGGACAAAAAACAACAATAAAATATTTTTGTGATGTAATAATTTTATAATGCATATGCATATTCTATAATTTATATTTTCTGTACTTTTCTTGCAAATTATCTTATTGATATTTTTTTAATATTTATAATGCTTAGATTTGCATAAAATATAACTTATAAATATGTAAAGTTATTAAACTCACAAGTTTAAGTAAACTCATATCCTAAACATGAATTTTAAACTCATAAGAGTTTACCACTTTTAATAAATAGTCATTAAATATGATCGTAATTTAATTTAAATATATTAAAAATATAAATTATTAAAATTAAATCCATTTATATTGATAAATTATTATATACAAAACATAAAAATTTTAAAATATGGGAACATATTTTTGATATTTTTGTTTTCTTTTTTATTAATATTAGTTTTTGCATTTCAATTTTTTTCTTTGAATCAGATCCTATAATTTTTACGAACTTAATTCTTCACAATATATACTTAACTTGTTCAGATCAAAAAATAAAAAATTGAATAATTTAAGAAGTTTAATTAAGCTTGCATCTGGTGCGAATTTATAAATTAGTTAACATAACTTTGTAAGTTAAAAACATAACAATGATAAAGTTAGAGGTAAACTCGTGAATTTAATTGAGTTTGTATATAGTTTAAGTTTATGAGTGAATGGACACAATTTGGTAAATTAGAAATGTAAGAATGTTAAATTCGAGGAGGCAACTCGACAGTTTGACAACTATAAAAGTATGGTTTAAATTCTTAAAAAAAACTTAAGTGAAATACAAATGAATAAATTTTACTTGTTCATTTGGTACAATGGTTCCATTGGTTTTGGCTAATTCAACTTGCTCTAAATTGATTTGAAAGAAGCCAACAAAGTAGAGAGAAGATAAATTACTCTATGTGAGAGATGAGTGAGAAAGTTAGAGAGATGGTACACTAGCTAGGATTAGTGGTTTGACATCCTCCAACATTCCTGGAGATGGAGTGTGTATATATTTTGTTCATCAAAGAGAGGATGTCCTGATACGATCGAAGCACTAAAAAACTTGACGAAGATGTTGTACGTCATGCAAGGGGCCTTGGTTGATCAAGATGTTCCAATGAAAGAGATAATACATAGAGTGAAAAGAAATTAAGACTGAGGAGTCTAAATTGACCCAAAAGAATATCATATAAGGCCAAACTAATCGGCAAAGAAGAAAAAACTATAGAACAAGACTTTGAAGAGTTATTTAGAGAATGGCTTCCGCATGAGTCCCAAGGCGCACCAAAGTGGTATGAGGAACAATCGAAAATAGTTTATAACCTTCGAAGGACGGTCTGATCGTCACACTCGCTTCTTTTTGCTGCTTTATTCGAGTTTGATTTTGACATAGTTCAGGTTTTTGACCATGTGGATAGTAATTAGGGTAAATGTGCATTTTTGTCCCTGAAATATTTGTTAAGGAGCACCTAACACTATAACATTTTTCTTGGAGCAATTTTTCCCTTAACGTTATCAAAACGATGCATTTTTCCTTTACGTCAAATTGACATAGGTGCTTGTGCCCCCTAAATTGTCATCATTTGGTTAGAAAATTGACTATTAAACCACTGCCTTGACCGATTTAATAATTGATTCGATTTTTATTACCTTACGTTAAATTAACTGTACCAAAAACAAAAGTCTCCAATGATGGGCCCTAAAGTGTTATATGGTCATTGCCTTGGTCAACAATGATGGGGTCCAAACTTTAACCCATTCACAAATTAGCTCAAAACTTCAGCTTTATGGGTCAGGGTTCTTATTCTCCCTAATCATTGTTAGAATGAAGAGTTTATGTGGGAAATGTTTCTGGTGATGTATAAGGGAATTAGTTTGATAATCTCATCATCTGCTTCAACTCATGTGGAAAAGTTAGCCACACGAGTGAAGACTGTGCCAATAACTAAAAAAAAAGCTAAAAAATAAGAGACAAAAGGAGGTAAGACATCGTCGCATGAACCCTAAGGCCAAATGCAAACGATGATGGTCTCGCGCAGCATATATTGTCTTAAAAATTATAAGTCATTTTTAACTAAATTAATTACACCCCATAAGTTAGCTAACTGTCTTAAAAATGATACCATTTTCTCATGTTAGCTCTTATTTAATAGAGAGTTAGAACTCACTTAAAGGTGAAAAATTAAGAGATTTATTTATTAATGGTATTTATGAAATAAAAACTCATTAATTAGATACTAAAAAACTAAAAATACCTTAATATTAGTTTTTGCATTTCAATTTTTTTCTTTTAAATCAGGTCTTATAATTTTTACGAACTTAATTCTTCACAATATATACTTAACTCACTCAACTCAAAAAAATGAATAAAAAATTGACAAGTTTAATAAGTTTAATTAAGCTTGCATCTGGTCTAAGTTTATAAATTAGTTGACACAACTTTGTAAGTTAAAAACATAACAACGATAAAGTCAGAGATAAACTCGTGAGTTTAATCAAGTTAGTATATAGTTTGAGTTTATGAGTGAATTGACACGATTTGATAAATTATAAATGTAAGAATGTTAAACTCATAGAGGCAACTTGAGAGTTTGAATACTATAAAAATATGGTTTAAATTCTTAAAAAAACTTAAGTGAAATACAAATGAATAATTTTACTGGTTCATTCAGTTCAATGGTTCCATTGGTTTTTGGCTAATTCAACTTGTTCTAAATTGATTTGAAAGAAGCCAACAAAGAAGAAAGAAGATAAATTACTCTATGTGAGAGATGAGTGAGAAAGTTAGAGAGAGAGATGGTATGCTAGCTAGGGTTAGTGGTTTGACATCCTCTAACATTCCTGGAGATGGAGTGTGTATATATTTCGTTCATCAAAGAGAGGATGTCCTGATATGATCGAAGCACCAAAAAACTTAATGAAGAAGTTGTACGTCATGCAAGGGGCCTTGGTTGATCAAGATGTTCCAATGAAAGAGATAATACATAGAGTGAGAAGAAATTAAGACTGAGGAATTAAATTGACCCAAAAGAATATCCTACAAGGCCAAACTCATTGACAAAGAAGAAAAAACTATAGAACAAGACTTTAAAGAGTTATTTAGATTATGGCTTCAGCATGAGTCCCAAGGTGTACCAAAGTGGTATGAGGAACAACAGAAAATAGTTTATAACCTTCAAAGGATGGTCTGATCATTACACTTGCTTCTTTTTGTTACTTTATCCGGGTTTGATTTTGACACAGTTCAGGTTTTTGACCATGTGGATAGTAATTAGGGTAAATGTACATTTTTGTCCTTGAAATATTTGTTAAGGAGCACCCAATACCGTAACATTTTTGTTGGAGCAATTTTCCCCTTAACGTTATCAAAACAATGCATTTTTTCCCTTACGTAAAATGTTTTAAACAGTCAATGTTTGATGTTAATGTTGGAAATTTGACGGAAAGGGCAAAAATACTCCATTTTGATAGCGTTAAGAGCAAAATTGCTGCAACAAAAACATCAACGTGTTGGGTGCTCCTCAAAAAATACTTTAAGGACAAAAATACACCTAGGAAAAAAGATGTATTTATCTGAGATGAAAGAC